TTTTTTTTTTTTTTTAATTTTAAAAACTGCATTTGTAGGCAGATCTTAGAGTTTGAGACCTGCTTGGTCCACACAGAGAGCTAGTTTGAGGACAGCCAAAGCTACACAGAGAAACCCTGCTTCAAAGACCCCAAACTGCATTTTTATTTAGTGTACAGTATATGTGTGAGTGTGTTTCTGTTCATGTGCACACATGTCACATATGTGGTACCACATGTGTAGTCCAGAGGACAACTCAGGGGACTTGGTTCTCTCCAGCCGAATTTTTATGAACACACACGAATCTAAATAATGGAAAGTTTTTACTCTTATATTTGAATATGCTGCTTTCCTGATTATTTATGTTCTTTTGATATGCAATTTCATCATGAAGATACCTATCCCATGGTCTCCTTGATGACCCCACTTATTAAAACATTAAAAAATGAAAACATATTTTCTCAATGCTTCAACTTTAAATGCAAGTCATAAATTCACAGTAGCTGGAAACAGATGCTCAACATATGCCTCAGACTAGGAGATAATTTTCATCATTATCAATTAAGGACTCATTGGCTGAGTGTAACGGGCATCGGAAGGAATATTGTCAGAAGCCATGAATCTTAAACTGTAGTAAATACAGCAAAGGGAAGCTTAAGTTGTGATGTGGGTGACATATTGTTCTCTTGTTGTTTTAATTTTGACAAAAATGTGTTAAGCAATTATGTCAATATTATTAAAATATAATCTAAGTTTTCTTAAAAAAAAAAAAAAAGAAAGAAAGAAAGGTCCTCAAATAAAGTTTTAAATCTGGATGTGATGGTGCCTGTGTGTAGTCTTAGCCTTGAAGAGGATGAGGCAGGAGAACTGCTTAAACTCAGGAGTTGCAGTGTAGCCTGGACAAGATTGCAAGAACCTTTCTTGAACCCACAAAACCAAACAATACAAACTGGACTTTGCCTTCATTTATTGATTTATAAGCAAATAAAGACATTTCTTCACTAAATGCTGTGTGCACATGGTGGGGTATATATGCATGTGTGTACATGTGTATATACAGGCTCATGAGTGCATGTGTGTGCGTGAGGAGGCCAGAGGAGAACACACAGCACCTGCTCTATTGCTTTCCACGTTATTTTTAGAGCAGATCTCTCAGGCTCCTAGGACCCACCCATTCACTCCCCTACAGCCCTGGGCTGGGGATCCCAATGCAGATCCCCACAGCAGGCCCTTGCTCATTGAGCATCTCCCTAACCCCTCTTCAAACACCTTAAGTGATCTTCTAATCTTATTTTTCTAAGCATAGCTCTATAACAACACTTGTCACTCAGCTGTAGAAAATATGTACATAAGGTAACAGCATTAATATATTTTTGTTATTAATATGAAGGCAGAATATTACATGATAGTTTCTCTCTCATACGAAAAATGATTAAACTGAGTAAATTGATAGCCAAAAGTCTTGGACTCAAAAAATTTCTATTTCCTGATATTCAACAAATCTGTACTTTCAAACCATATTTTGGCACAATAATTACTTGTTTACAAAAATTAAAGATTAAGGGGTTGTAGAGCTGGCTCAGTGGTTAAGAGCACTAACTATCTGCTCTTCCTGAGGACCCAGCTCACAACTGTCTGTAATTTCAGTTCCTGAGATCAATGTCCTCTTCTAGGTTCTGACCAGATTCACAAGTAGTGCACAGACAAACATACACGTAGGCAAAACACTTATAAATATCAAATTAAATCTAAAAAATTACACATTTAGAAACAATTTTCACCCATCTAGTACAGATAGATTTTCAACAAACCTTTAGCATGCTTCATATTATAACCTGATATTCTGGCAAGAACTGTCTGTATCCACCGGGCCAAGGTCAAAAGTTGAGAAAGAGCCTCTGCATTCTCACTACAAAAAAATAACATTTAGAAATGGTCAATTCAATTGGTACAAAGTCAATCTACAGGGCTAAACTTGTGGAGTCTTTTCTTAAATAAATGGATCGAATTCTGTGGGGCATGGTAACATGACCTTTAATCCTAGCATTTGAAAGGCAGAGGCAGGCAGATTTCTATGAGTTCGAATCCAGCCTGGTCTACATAATGAGTTCCAGGCCAGCAAGAGATATATAGTGAGACCTCATCTCAAACAAAAATAATTTAAGTAAAATTAAAACATCAAGTTTTGGGCTAGAGACATGGCTTAGAGATTAAGAGCACTGCTTGCTCTTCCAGAGGTCCTGAGTTCAGTTCCCAGCAACCACATTACAGATGGAGATCTGGTGCGCAGGCAGAGCTCTGTATACATAAATAAATCTTTTTTTTTTTTTTTTTTTTTTTTTTCGAGACAGGGTTTCTCTGTGTATAGCGCCTTTCCTGGAACTCAGAGATCCGCCTGCCTCTTGAGTGCTGGGATTAAAGGTGTGCGCCACCACCGCCCAGCTATAAATAAATCTTAAAAAAAAAAAAATCAAGTTCCTTCAGATCATTAACATTGTAGGTCATGGAAATGTGACTAAAAAAAATGTAGTTGGTACTATGACTAAGACATTACCATACATCTATGACTGAGAAGTAATAAAATACCAGTAAATGGAAAATACCACTGTGGTTACTCATCAACTACTAGGTGATGTCATTGACAACCTGGTTTCTCCACACACAATCTACAGGTTTTAGGTTCTGACATATGCCAAGTTGGTCACTTCTTTCTACCTCTACCCACTACCCTCCTGAAAGTCCTACTGTCCCTCACATGAACCATTTCAATGGCTTCTTAATAGTTTTTTCCCTTTTACTTTTTTTATTTAATTAATTAGGGTTTTTTGTTTGTTTGTTTGGTTGGATTTGGTTTTGATTTTTCAAGACAGGGTTTCTCTGTGTAGTCCTGGCTGTCCCAGAACTCAGTATGTAGACCAGGCTGGCCTCCAACTCAGAGATCCACTTGTCTCTGCCTCCTGAGTGTTGGGATTAAATGTGTGTACCACCACCACTGATATATTTTTGTCTTATTTTTTCCCCTTAGGACCAAACCCAGGGCCTTACCACTGAGCTAAATTCTCAAACCATGAGGGGCCTGTGCTCTTGATGTGACACATTCTAAACCTATTTTCCTTTGGAGAAAAACAACTGTTTATTCCTCACTTGGATCTCAGAGACCAGCTACCTGAAAATTCTATGTATAGTATCAGGCACTGGCCAGACTCTAGGATTTCCTTGGTATTTCTCATAGCTCAGCAACTCATACTAGATTATAAGCTTCTCCTTCATGGAATGTATGCTCCATAAAATAAGACTATAAAATAATAATTCACTGAAAGGACAGTCTTTTTATTTTTTTAAGATTTACTTATTTAGGTATATGGGTGTTTTGTCTACATGTACATCTGCACAGCAGAAGAGGGTACTGGATCCCCCAGGGACTAGTTATAGCTGGTTGTGATCCATCACATGGATATTGGGAATTGAACACAGGACTCGGCCATAATTATTTATTTATTTACTTACTTATGTATTTATTTATGTCTTTATTTATGTATGATTTATTTATTTATTTAGTATTTTGCCTGCATGCATGTCTGTGTGAAGATGTTAGATCTTGGAGTTAGAGACAGTTGTTAGCTGCCATGTGGGTGCTGGGAATTTAACCTGGGTCCTCTGGAAGAGCAGTCAGTGCTCTTAACCACTGAGCCATCTCTTCAGCCCCCCAGACAGTGCTCTTAATCAATGAGCCTTAATCTCTCCAGGCTCTGAAAGGGCAGTCTTTTTTTTTTTTTTTTAAGATTTATTTATTTATTTATTATGTATACAGTGTTCTGCTTGCATGCCAGAAGAGGATGCCAGATCTCATTACAGATGGTTGGGAGCCACCATGTGGTTGCTGGGAATTAACTCAGGACCTTTGGAAGAGCAGTCAGTGCTCTTAACTGCTAAGCCATCTCTCCAGTCCCTGGAAGGGCAGTCTTGAAGGAAGTAAAATATAAAATGAACTGTGCAAAATTTGAATACCTACCATAAATTTGACCTAAGAAATCTCTTTGTTTCTTAAAAGTGAAAGTGTATTATGACTGGTCATGACTTAAAAAACAAGAAAACACACAAAAAAAACCTAACATGAGTTTTAGAAAAAAACTTATATGTACATGATGTGAGTGTATATGTAAGTATTGATGTGTGTAAGTGCAGGTGTGTGCATGTCACAGTAAATATGTAGACATCAGAACATAACCTTCACTATTGTTTCTTGCTACTAACTTGTTTGGGATAATCTCCTTGTTGTTCACTGGTGCACACACTGGGCTAGCTGGTCCATAGACTTCCAGAGTTTCTCCTCTCCCCCGCCCCCACCCCCCACACACATAGGAGGCTGGGCTGACAGACCAGTGCTAAAGAGACTAGCTCTTACATGAGTTCTAAAGATTTGAACTCTCCTTCTACTTGTACAGAAAGCATTTTAACCAACTGAAGCATCTCCCCAGACCAGTTTTACAGTCTTTGATCAATTTATTGTATAATGTTTTACATCAAATGTCAGTTTGGGGGCTGGAGAGACGGCTCAGCAGGTAAGAGCACACAGGGTTCTTGCAGACGACCCGAGTGTAGTTCTTGTACCCACAGTTCACAACTACCTGTTAACACAGCTCCGGGGATATGACACCTCTTGGTCATTGAGGGGAAATTCCCTCACATATGCACATGTACATACTCCCCCACCACCACAAAAACAAATTATATATATATACATATATATATATACATATATATATATGTAAATGTAGCTTAGTTAAGAAAGTTAAAGAAGTCAGTTGCTGAGCATTCCTTTAAAATTTTAGAGAGCAATTAGATATTTATCTTCATTTGGGGGAGTTACCCTGTATAAAAAGCTTATGTAAGCCAACAAGAAGTTGGAAATGGCTGGGCATGGTGGCATAGGCCTGTAATCTCAGCGCTCAGGAAACTAAGGCAAGAGAGTCATGAGTTCAAGATAGCCTAGGCTGCACAGTAAAGCCTTGTTTCAAAAAAACTGAAACCATACAAACACCTCTGCCCGTCGTCAGAAGTGAGAAGTAAGGTCTGGGTTCAAATCCTGAAATCTCTCCTGGAACAAGCAAAAATCACTCAGTCTCAATCCAATTCTTTATGTTTAAATGGAAATATTACTGCCAACTTCAGTAGATTACTGAGTGGCAAGTGCATGGTACATTGTCTAGAGCTTATTAATTATTCAATAAATGAAAGGCAAATCTTTCTGACACTTGTTCCCATGAGGTGACATTACATGTCCAAATATGATAAATATGAGAAATTCCAAACTGGGTTTTCCAATGACATAGAATAGTAAAGGTAAAGCGACCACTTCTTGACTCCGCTTGCTAAACACACCCCTTTCATATACCTTTGTTGTGGAGGACATAATCAACTCATGCTGTTGTTCTGTGGTGTGCCGCACATGCGCAGGAGGTATGCAACACTGAATGATAATATCTCTAGCCAAAGCATGTTTTCAAATTAGTAAAACCATTTTCATTGGAGGAACAGAACTATCATTACAAATTTACCCATTTTTAAATAATTTAAGAGTAACTTGTTTGTTCTTAGATAGGGTCTCACTATCTAGCCTTTGTTAGCCTGTAACCTGCTACACAGACTAGGGTGGCCTCAAACTCAGAGATCTTCTTGCCTCAGTCTCCTAAGTACTGGCATTAAAGGTGTGTACCACCACATGTGGCTAAGATAACAATTTTGTTTTAGTATATGTGCTGCCGAAGCGAGCACAAGATAAAAATTTTGTTATCATCAGTACAATAGTAAGAATATGGGCCGGGTGGTGGCGAACACCTTTAATCCCAGCACTCGGGAGGCAGAGGCAGGTGGATCTCTGTTAGTTCGAGGTCAGTCTGGTCTCCAGAGCAAGTTCCAGGACAGCCAGAGCTACACAGAGAAACCCTGTCTAAAAAAAAAAAAAAAAAAAAAAAAAAAAAAGAATACGGACATATATAATGAAATTCTAAAAATTATTAAGAACTAGTGATGCCTATTAAATTGCATTAGTAGATTACCAGAATATACACTATTTTAAATTTTAAATGTTCACACATTATTCAAAGATATGATCAATGTAATGAGTGCTTTTATTTATTTTTATCATTAACTTTTTGTACAGCTCTCCGATAGGACTTGAATCTCTGGGGTTTTACTGCTGTAACAGCGGGTGGAAGACAAGTGCATTACACACTGCCTTGAGTAAAGGAACATCCTAGTTCTCTTCAACACCAAACTGCGTTTTTAATCTCAGTTGAAAGCACAATGCAAGCTATGGACTAAGAATCATAATAATTTCTGTAAGAAAAAGGAAGCCAGTAATCTGGCAAAAAAGCAAGTTAAAAGTTAAGGACAGCTTGAAAGCAAGCACCCGAACCAAGTTTAAACGAACGCACCTGTTGATCTTCTGAGGCTGCACAGGAATGATGGGGATGACCGTGTTGCACAGAGACTTGCAGAGCGGGCACAGGTACTCTCCACTCTCCAAGTCAAACAGGTCAACATGAATGCGCTGCTGAGAGCTTAGCTGTACAGCTTCAAAATACCTGCAAATTCAAGACGGAGGTCCACTTACAACAAATCACGTGGCTTTGATCTACTCCAAAAAAAGTGCTAGAATTTTGGTCTTAATAAGTATCTTCAGAACTTATATGCAAAAACACGTATTATAATTCTAGAAAAAACAGAATTCCATTTTGGGTATGGATAAAGTGGAAAATACATTACAGCAGATACAAATTTGATCTTAACTTGCCCCCTGCCTTAAGAGCAAGTGGACATAGCTAGAGACTCCCAGTGGACATCTACAGCACTGAGGGCTTTCAATGGAAAATTATGCTTTTAATCTGATGGCAAATGAGTAAACTATACAAAAAAAAAACCTATCAGAAATTACATTTTGAAATTTTTATCTTTTCTCAAGATAAAACTAGAATTTGTCATATTGTAAAGATACTTATTATATTTGTTTGTTTGTTTGTTTTCCGAGACAGGGTTTCTCTGTGTAGCTTTGCGCCTTTCCTGTAACTCACTCTGTAGCCCAGGCTGTCCTTGAACTCACAGAGATGCACCTGCTTCTGCCTCCCAAGTGCTGGTATTACAGGCATGTGCCACCACCACCTTGGCCTAAGTTTGGGTAATATTTTTACATAAAGCTTATTGCTTCTCTTACATGACTAGCAGCAGACAGTGCTAATACCATCCATTTGTGATAAGCAAGTGCATTTTCAGTGCTAGGAACTGAGCCAGGGAGCACACTGTGCGTGTCAAGTACATGCTATATTATCAAACTATACTTCTAACCCCTGAAAACATTAAGCTGAGAACTTTAAACATCAATTTCTAAGGCTTACAATAAATAGAAATATAATTAGTATCATGCAAAAAGGATTAGTAATTAAAATTGCTTAAATTATTCCAGTAAGAAATACAGAAAGAAGACATGAGAAAACATGCCTTTTTGTGGAGTCTAGTGAATGTCAATGTTCCTAGTCTCTTTCAAGAACATGTCAGAAGGACAACTTACTTCTGCCAGCATACTGCATGCATTACATGACCACAGCTTCCTGTATAAGTTCCATGTGCAAGGTCTGGATCCATGAAAAGAGGGTCCAGGGTTTCTGGTTCAGAAAGACACAATTAAGAGGTAGGTTCTTAGTTTTCTAGAGTGTTAAGGAGGTGGGAGTGGAGGAAAAAGTTTTCAGATCTAAAGTTCTGGTCACAAAGTTTTATTTCTTAAGAGGGTCTAAGTATAACAATGACAGCAGTATACATTTTCCTAATCGTAAGAAAAAAGGCAGAAGGCAGCAAGGCCATCACGTTAGATTCTGAAATCTGTATGGATTAACAACTCTATATTCATTCACACTGTCATTTTGAACAGTAGTAGGTTTAAGCTGCATTATATTGGTGATTATATTGCTTTCCTCTGCTTCAAGAGCAAATGTGCCTTAGTAATTTTGAAGAATAATTTGAACACATGACAACTTATAAAGAAGATTTATTTTTACATGAGGGTTTGCCTGCATGTGTGTCTGTGCACCATGTGTGTGCCTGGTTCCCAAGAAGGCCCGAAGAGGGCACTGGACCCTCGGCAACTAGACTTGCAGACAGTTAGGAGCCACCATGGAGACCCAGGTCCTCTGCAAGAGCAGCAAGTGCCCTTCACTGCTGAGCTACCTCTCTAGCCACTATAAATGATAATTTTAAGAGAGGGTAAAAGAACAAAAACAACAACAAAAAAAACCCTAGAGCAGGGCCTTCAAATTATGATATCATTGCATTACTCAGGGCCTGAGGCCAGTTAAGGCCTCTGCCTCAGTTCCTTCATTTATAAGATGGTATCTAATGTTCAAGGTTGTTGTGAAGATTAAGTAAGCAAATACAGGATTTAATCAGTGACTGGAACATATTAAATACTAATAAATGTTAGTTTATTATCCTCATCATTACTTCAAGGGAAGTTAAAAAACAAAGCAGCTAACTTCTGATAAGTATGATGTGTTACCTAATTAAAATCTTATAAAGTAAATGTTTAATATCAATCTAATCATAAGGCAGAAAGATAAATTCACACTGTGAGACACTGGATAAGATTATTAATCTGCATTCATCAAAACAGTTATTATCATAAAAAAAGGTGCAAGGGAATAGTCTATATTAAAACAACTAAAACACACTTATTTTGCTTTGTTTTTGAGACATTGTCTCAATGTGTAGCTTGGGCTGGTCTTGAACTCATTATGTAGGCCAGGCTCACCTCCATCTAACGGCAATCTTCCTACCTAAATTCTCCATGTGCTGGGATGACAGGCATGAGCCACCATGCCCAGGTAAAAGAAACTTCATCAAATATGTTTAGCTCTTTATTTTAAAAATATGCCTCCCCACTGAAGACATTTTGAGAATAGTTATAAAAATAAAGATTTTATATACATATATATATATAATATATATTTAATATATATATAAAATAGACTCCTCCTCAGTTTTGGGAAATGCATTCAGAAATACCTAGAGATGAAGTGTTATGAGGCCTGCAATCTACTTTCAAATGGTTCAGCAAGATAAAAATAAAGCCAAAAATAGATGGATTGAGTAATATGACCAAGAACTAACAAAAATAAAAACTAATAAAAAAGTCAATGTGGCATTTAAGAATCTAATCTATTTCACATATGAATATGTGATCTAACCAAACAGGACTTACATACAACCTCACTGCTAAACCTCTTTCAATGTTTATTTTTATTCTAATCACATAGAATTAGGCAGGAAAAGAAATGGCTGAAATTAGATTAAGCAAGCGATACATACCCCCTGCGAGGTCTATGGGCTTCCCCCTGTGTTGGGTTAAGGCGGTGGATTTCTGGACACAGGCTGATAATACCATGGCATTGTTTTCTAGTTTCACCTCTTGTTCTTCTTGGCAGAGGATGCACGTCAGCACCTCTTTTTCAGTGACAGCTGGACCCCGTTTAGGACCCAAAGCAATTCTAGAGTGATCACTGACGGCTGGAGTGCTACCAAAAGAAACAACCAGAAATGAGGACATATGTTTTTTACATTTTGGTAGATTTTTTAAGTAAGTAAATAAAAACAAAAATTATATTTAACAGTATTACCTTTAAAAATCCACCCTGAATTTTCTGGCTTTAAGTAGTTAATTTTCTAACTAGAATATTCAATTTGTTCTAAGTGCACAAAGAAATACATCACAGAATAGTATGTATATTATGATTCTATTTAATTTACTATATCAACAAAAGTGGGGCCATTTCTTTTTTTAATAATAAATATGTAGTATAGATATCAAAGAAATTCTATAAAATATAGAAAAATATTAAGGGAATAAAAAGCATTGCATTGACAATGTAACCACTAGTTACCTTGTTTATTTCTTCCTAGTTTGTTTTCTATTTATACTACACATTTTGTACAAACAACGTCATGTCATACATACATGGATTTATTCACTTAGATGTGGCCTTACTCATCTATACCTTTGTTATTTTGTCATGAGTTAGGATTTACTCAGCAACACGTGAAACAGCTGCCTAGTGCTACTCTTGTTCCTGTACCATAATGGTTTTATCCAATCCCTCTCATTAGACAACTAGGTTTCTATTTTAGTAGCTATTAAAACTACAAAAGTTTAAATCTTAATAAATTTTAATAATGTAGCAATCTTTAGGATCTACAGATATACTTGATAATAAAATACAAATGAAAGCAAATAAAAGCAACTATTTATAATGATTTGATTGTTATGCTGTTTCACATATTTTATTTTATTTTTTTCACTTAATTTTTTTTTTGTTTGTTTGTTTTTGTTTGTTTGTTTTTCGAGACAGGGTTTCTCTATGTAGCTTTGCACCTTTCCTGGATCTCGCTCTGTAGAGCTGGCCTCAAACTCACAAAGATCCGCCTGCCTCTGCCTCCCAAGTGCTGTGATTATCCTAAATAGCTTTGGTGGTGCATGCGCCAACACCGCCCGGCACTTAATTCTTATAATAAACATATGAGGTAAGTACTATAATTACCTCCATTCTCCCAGAGGGAGAAACTGAGGCCTAGAGATAATAAAAAACAGACCTAGGAACTCATCATTAGTAAGTAGTAAGACCAAGACATAACTGACACAGGTAACCTGGCCGCAGAGGCCTGCAAAATTATACAAGAAGCTCCCTAAAATATGATTCATCACTCAGTGAACTATAAATAACTCAAATGCTCATCAGTGTAAGTGAATTAACATAATATAAAAGATTACACAGTTTTCAAAGGGTACTGTTCAACGGTAGTAACATGTAGCCCAATATCCTTAGAGATATACTAAGTACGTATCATTGAAGCAAACAAAACAAAAAGCAGAATAAGATAAAACCACATAATTTTGTGACTACATATATTCACATGAAATAGTATAATAAAAAAATTCTGATATATATATATATAAAGCTTTTTTGGTTTTTGGGACAAAAACGAGTAGCTCAGGCTAGTCTCCAACCCATTGTAGCTCAAACTAGCCTTGAACTTTCAATCTTTCTTTTAACCTCTCGAATGCAGGGTTATGCATATAAAACGTATAACCACAGAAGGCCTAAAGGATTTGGTCAAGTACCCAAAGGAACTTTAGATTTACCTCAACCATTTGATTTTCAACAAGAAAATATAGTAATATAACTATAATTAAAACAGTAAATAAAAAAGGCATTAAGACAAAAAATTAAAACTTAATCTCTTAAGAAATCTGTCTTCATCAACACTGGAAATGTCTTTTGCTTTTGAAGTTTTTTTCTTTGTTGAGAGTTTCATGGGGTTTCACTATGTGGCTCAGAATGATAGGAAACTCACTATAGCATTCGGAGCAGCCCTGCACTTATGGCATCCCTGCCTCTGCCTCTCAAGTGTTGGGATTACAAGCATGTGGTGCCTGGCTTCATTGAGAACTTTTATGGAAAACCCTTATAATGTTAAAGAAAGAAGGAGAAAATATGGGAAATAATGTTTAAAGATTATAAATCAGGAAGACAAGAAGGAGCAAAGGCCTCCACAAAAATAGGCAAAAGACAGTAACAGGCATTTGGCAGAAGACGAAATGTACAAAGTCAGTAAACATTATGAGAATTCATCCTTGCACTAACTAGCAACCAGGAAATGTTTCCTTTGTAGTGTACGGTCCTAGGGATTGAACCTAGGGCCTCGTGTATGCTGAGCCAGCACTCTACCACTGAGCTTCACTCCTAGCCCATACATTTTATTTGGTGGGAATGAACCATGTTCGTACACTAGGAGGAATCAAAACTGACAGAGTCACCTGGAAAGACAATATGAAGCATCTGCTAAAATTTTAACCTAGCTAGGCGTGGTGGTGTACACCTTTAATCCCAGGCAGAAACAAGTAGATCTCTGTGAGTAGGAGGTCAGTCTGGTCTACAGAGTGACTTCTAGGACAGCCAAGGCTACATAGTGAGACACTATCTCAAAAATAAACAAGTTAGTTACATTACAATATTTGTTGAATTCTGCCCTGGGAGAACCACCGGCACGACAGAAGGAAGTCCATGTGAGAATGCTCTGACAAACTAATGAGGGGAAAGGAAGCATCTTAAACCTTACAAAGCAGATAAAATACGTATAGCCACACCATGGCAGACTGTATATTGATAAAGAGTAAAAGAAGGATAAAGGAAGGAGGAAGGAGGACTATGATCAGAATGAATGATATACATGTATGAAACTGTCAAAGAATTTATTTAAAAAAGAAATGAGGGGATGGAAGTCAAAGGGCACATAAGTACAGGCATGCAGAAGGAGCAAACCTACAGACGTTATGGATAGCACGAAGATTATAGCTGTTTCGGGACCTCTTATTGAAAACAATAACTACATGAAGTTGTTGTGGAATATTCCTTTACACTTGTGAAGATGTGTTACTGTGATTGGTTTAATAAAGAGCTGAATGGCCAATAGCTAGGCAGGAAGATGTTAGGCAGGACTTCAGGTCTCAGGGAAGAAGAAAGACCGAGTCGCCAGCCAGAAATGGAGGAAGCAGGATGGGCAGTACAGAGTAATGGTAACCAAGCCATGTAAAAGAATGTAGATTTTAAAATATGGGTTAATTTAAGTTATAAGAGTTAGTGAAACAAGCCTAAGCTAAGGCCAAGCTTTCATAATTAATAAGTCTCCATGCCATTATTTGTAAGCTGGAAGCCCAAAGAAAAAGCCTGCTACACATAGCACCCAATGTCCGGCCACATAAATCAGCACAGGGCCTGAGAAAGCTAAGAAAAGTTCTGGACAAGGAGCCAGATGTGTCTTCCTAGTCTTCCTAGTCCTGCAGTCTCTCAGACAGGCTGGTGCTTGAGGGCACGGCTAGCAGCTGCTGCCCACAGCCAGCAGCCAGCAGTCAGCAGCCAGCAGTCAGCAGCCAGCAGCCAGCGCCATGCACAAAGCTGAGCCATACAGCAGCTAAAATGGCAGATTTGTCTCACACGGTCAGAGAACATTGCAAATGCTTAGTAAAGCCATGTCCAGAAACAGAAAACCTCTAAGAAGGTATAGTATGTTCAAAAATGTGCTTAGATGCTAAAGAAAGAAAAGAAAACAGGTATAGACAGTCATTTAAAAAAGTTTAAAAATAATAAAATCTTAAAAAAGGAGTAAAATAATATAATAAAACAAGCCACATAAGGATGGAAAATAGAACACAGTGAGTTTGAACCTTATATGGTACTTTGTTAATTTTAATACTAATGAACAGAAAATGACAGCAGCTGAGACACACTAGATTGTGGAAGGGACTTCTGAATTAAACCAGTATTGCTTTGTGGAGAAGATTATGCTTTTGGGGTTTTTTAGCTAATTTTTTTTATTAAGAAATTTTTTATTCATTCTACATACCCATCAGACTCCCCCACATTCCTCCTCCCGCTCTCCCCCCAGCCTACTCCGCCCCCCATCCCTTTCTCTGAAAAGGTATGGCCTCCTATGGGGAGTCAGCAAAGCCTGGCACATTCATCTGAGGCAGGTCCAAGCCCCTTCCCCCTGCATCAAGGCTGTACAAGGTGTCCCACCATAGGCACTGGGCTCCAAAAAGCCAGTTCATGTACCAGGAATAGATCCTATCCCCTCTGTCAGGGGCTCTTCAGATTATGCTTTTGTTTTCACAGAAAATGAAAGGCTGTGGATTCATTCAAGATTGATAGAGATCAGGTTTGATCAGGGAAGACCCCCTGAAAATCCTGGCTACAGACATAAAGAAGTAAACCTAGAAAAACTACAAGACAGATGACATATATTTTACCTGCTCAAACACAAAACAAGCAAACAAAAATCATCTTTGGCTGGCTTGTATACAATGCATAGTTCATACTTGTGCAGATATGTATGTTACCTTTGAAAGTTTGTGTGTTTTCAGAGCAAGGGGACCAGGCACCAATGAACATGGGTGGACCAGGTGATCCAGCCTCTCAGAGTGTCTCTGCTGCAGTTTCCTCAAAGTTCTAGATCCAGAACAGCTTCAAGGCTCCTGGCTGAGATGGTCCAGCCTCACACACTACTCTAGTCAGGACTACAGATAAGCCTTGTGCTTTCCCATTGCACAGAGACTGGACAAATGCTATGGCTAGTTTATCTCGGACTTGACCATTATCTCAGTTTTTTCAGGGTCCCCCAGTGCTGCTATTGCCCCCAGACATCAGGAAGCAATCTAGAAAACATGATGCCTACATTCCCAAGAAGTGGGGTGGGTAGTTTTTGGTCATTTGATGGGTTATGGATGCTTGTCATAATTTAGGGGGATTAGTTACAAGTTGGTATTTGTCATGGTCAGGAAAAAAATCAGAAAAAGGAGTTTAGATTCAGGGATCTCTTTCTGAAGGGAAAAAAGGAGGATATATTATAGAAATGATGGGATAAAAAGGGTGGATTGTTGAGTCTACTTTTGAATAACCACTAGTCTCAAATATTTTACATTAGTATGGATTTTTGTATATTGATACAAATTTAAGGTTATTTTTGTTATAATGTATATATGTTTCTACACTTGTTTAAGGTATTATACCTATGCAGCCCATTTGAAAATCCTTGAAAGCTATTTAGGATAATAAAAAAAAGAAAGGTTAATAGTCATCTATAACAATCAAACTTATAGTCATGTTAGGTATGTTTTCAAGGTCATACAGAGATATATTTTAGATAGATAGGTGATCTTCAAACACTTTTGAGACCTACAGAATATGGGATTTAAAATGTTTTAATAACATAAGGCTTTCAAGACAGTGAGACACATCTGCTCCTGGCAGCATCAATCTACTTCATAAAAGGATGACAGGTACCAAAGAACCTCTTTATGGAGATTGCTTTCATTGTGGCAAAGCTAGCCATTTGGGTAAGAAATTGCCCTTGCCTCGACTGCTGGCAGTATGTTGTACAAACTAGACAACAGGACAAAAAGGAGTAAGATTGCCAAACTTTGCCAAGACAAGGTGGGGACAATTCTTCAAAATTCCTACTTTACAAAAAAGTCTGTCAGATATTCTAGGCCTGTAGGCGAAAGATGGATGCCTCAACATTGCAGAGGAACCTTAGGTAACTGCGCACGCAGCCAGCTGCTTCTGTCATTTCTCATAACTTTGGAAGTTGCTTGCTCTGCACTTCCGGTTTACTCAGGTAATATTATATCCTTCTTAGTTCTTTGATGGGGTTGAAAACCTACAGTTACAGTTTTCCTTAGTCATGATAAAAAGTAAATTAGGTACAAAACTTTGAACTCATCAAGTGAGGAATAGAGTATTTTCTCTGAATTTGCCAAATACAAATGGACTGGACATTGTGAACGTTAATTCTTATCTCATAATTGTTCTTATTGTTTATAGTTTTATTATGGTAGAGTTAAAACCTTTCCTTTTTATTTAGACAAAAAAGGGGAAATGTTGCAGAATATTCCTTTACACTGTATGAAGATATGTCACTGTGATTGGTTTAATAAAGAGCTGAATGGCCAATAGCTAGGCATCAAGAGGTTAGGTGGAGCTTCTAGGGACAGGAAGGTCTGGGCGGGGAGGGGAGAGAAGAAAGGCAGAGTCGCCAGTCAGACACAGAGGAAGCAGGACGGGCAGTACAGAGCAAAGGTAATCAAGCCATGTGAAAGAACGTAGATTTTAAAATGTGGGTTAATTTAAGTTATAAGAGCTAGTGGAACACGCCTAAGCTAAGGCTGAACTTTCATAATTAGTAAGTCCCCACGTCATTATTTATAGGCTGGTGGTCTATAGAAAAAGCCTGCTGTATGAAGTACATGAAGTAGCTGCTTGATGAAATAATTATTCCAGTATTTTTATGTACATGAAAACACCACCATGGCTAGCAAGATGGTTCAGCAAGAAAAGTGCTGCTACCAAGCCTGATGACCTGAGTTAATCCCCGGTACCCCATGATTCAAGGAGTGAAATGGCTACTGCAAGTTGTCCTCCGACCTCCATATGCACACACAATACAACAAAAAACAATAGTAGCCAAAAAACAACAGCAACAACGTGTTGTACATCTTAAAATGTGTGCAGTAAAAATGAATACATTTAAAAACTTGAAATTCAAAGAAACAGAATGAAGTAAAGCCTACAGCACAGATCTACATGTACTAACATAATGTATATGGAGAAAGCAAGCTAGGGAACTAAATATATGGGGCTGGAGAGATGCTCAGCAGTGAAAATCACAGGCTGCTTTTCCAGAGGACCCAGGTTCAATTCCTGACTCCAATATGGCAACTCACAAGCAACTATAATTCCAGTTCCAGGGGAGCTGGTGCCCTCTCTGGCTTCTGTGGGCTTCAGGCACACACATGCACAGACATATATGCACACAAAACACCCATACACGTAAAATAAAAATAAATCTGAAAAAAAAAGTTTTTTAAAAAACTAAGTATAAAGAAAAGAAAAAAAAAAAAACAAAAAAACGCTGGTGTGGTAGGTCATGCCTGTCCTGTTAGCACTGGGGAGGCTGAGGCAGAACTGCTGCAACGTGAACACCAGCACGGACTAGATAGGACGACCCTGTCCCAAACAAGCAAACAAAAGGAAAACCAGTATAAATCACTTCTATCGGGTAGTAGATTTACTTTCAGTCTGTAATAAATATAGTCATTTTTCCTAGAAACTATAAAAACAATATGGAATATATAAAGTAATATATAAATGTGTATCTAATAATACTAATGCATAGAAAATAATGGGTTGGTTTCTATTTTTGCTGTTACCATTGTAATATCTTTAGGAAAACATGATTGCAGAAGAATGTTTTGTTTTACCTCTCTTCCTCCATAATGGAGTCTTCCTTCCCTGACATTTCTGACGTACTGTCATACATGAGTTTGTGAGTTTCAATGAAGTTTTTCTGTAAGGCAGACATCTGGGCCATGATCTTCTGGCGGTGGAGCCTAGCAGCTTCAGCTTTTCTCTTCCGTTCTGCCTTTTCTTTATCATGAGTAATCTGAACAATATTAAGTAACACCAAAATTAGATAAGAGCTCCTGTTAAAAATTAATATTCAGAATGAATATTCCCCATTTGATATAGCAGTTAGCATATCTGATAAGGAAGACTTCAAATAAAAAGTAATTAGGAGGGGACTGGAGAGATGGCTCAGAGGTTAAGAGCACTGCTTGTTCTTACAAAGGTCCTGAGTTCAATTCCCAGCAACCA